CCCAAACACATACCTGTCTCCAGTCAACCCAAGTTGCTGTGTCCACAGACTTGGCCGTCCCCACTCTCTGCTCCCATGGAGAAGGCTGGGCAGTGTGATTCCGGGCAGACTGTGGGGACTTGTGGATTTTCACAGTAAGTAGCTTTATTCTAGAAACTAAACGGGAATGTGGGGATCCCAGGGCTTCCTTCCTGGAAGGTCATGCTCCTGGTGGGCGAGCGGCCCCCTAGCTTTGAAGTGAGAGGGACAGGTCATTTTGTCCCTTGGCTTTTACAGGATACAACTGTCTTTTCTCTCCCTTCCTGAATCTCCGGAGTCTCGAATCCCGGTCTTTCTTTCTGAAAACTGTTATTTGCTTTCCAAGCAACTTCTCTGCAATATGGTAATGAGCCCATGCAGATAGATCCCCGGCCCCCCCGGCCCTCTGACTTCCGCAGGCTCCGCACGATTATGTTCTTAAATTCGCCTTTAACCGAGAGATCTGAACAAGTTGTACCTCTGTTGAGTGCTCACCCGGTGGTTTGTTGGGTGTCCTGACGCCAGCTGTGTTTAGTCAAAGGAAATGAAGAGGGAAACTCTGGTTGTCTAACTGGGGAAACGGGGCACTGGGAAGCCAGACTTGGAGGGTGGACCTCGTCGGTACAGGAATGAAGGGGCTCGGAGTCGCCGTCTCAGACAGCCACGGGCACCGGGAGCGAGGCCTGCGTCTGACTGCCTTGTGTCTCAAGGTGAACCGGACCTGAACGGGCGTCTTGAGCCATGCCCCCCCCCTCCCAGGACATGAAATAATTGTGTCATCCTGGAGCAGGAGGGAACGATGCGTTTATATTTCGCCTCCTTTCTGACATTTGGATATTTCTCAATAGATGCATAGTTGTGCATCTGTAGATATCATACTGCATAACAGAAGCTCAGGTGTTTATATTTTTCTGTCAGTACCTCCACTGTGATAAATTCAATAAAGCGTGAGGGTTATAAGGGAGAGGCTCAGGAAGGTGTAAGAGCACCCCTAATCTATACGTAAGACTTGTATCTAGCAAACTCTTTCTTTAGACGTGCAAGTGTTAACAAAGTCCTCATGCGTAAGCCTCTTTTTTTTTTTTTTTTTTTTT